CGAAAAATTGGCAACGGAACAGCTGTTACCGAATATTAAAACAAATTCCGTGATAGTAATGGATAATGCGTCATACCATTCTAGACTATACACCAAAATTCCAAATACTAGCTCCAAGAAGGAAGATATCATAGAATTTATGGAGAACAAATGCATGGCAACACCTAGTAAATGTACCAAAAAGGAATTGTTGCAATTAATTAAGCAACAAAATTTTCAAAAAGAATATGTAATAGATAAACTCTTTGAACGATACGGGCATACGGTTTTTCGGCTCCCTCCATATCATTGTGTTTTCAACCCAATTGAAATGATATGGGCCAATGTAAAAAAGAAATTGCGGAAAATGAATCAATCTCCCCAATTAAGTGACGTTGTTGTCCAAAATATAAGAACAGTGATCGAAGAACTTAACAAAACTGACATTTGGAAAAATTGTGTAGCGCATGTTCAAGTAAAAGAAAAATAATATCCTACTTCACCACCAATTGAACCGGTAGTTATAAACACAAACGACGACTCAAGTTCTGGACACAGGGATAGTGATAGTGTTTAATTGTTTGAATATTTCTACAAAGACTTCCACAACTTGTCAAAAATATGTTCTGTATATCGAAGTAAATGTGATCTCTCGATTAATCTATAACCTAAGAGACAATTCGACTGTAAGACGAATTGGCCGATTTCATGTAAGTATCTTTCAAAAATAAGCTCTTTAAACCGATGAAACTTACAGATCATATTCATGATTATTTTTTACCAAAAAAAGGGATCAACTTTGTTTTGAGCGTAACTTGCTTACGTTTGATGCTAGAAACTGTTTTAAAAATCAAAAATAAAGATTTCTCTAAACAATTTAAAAAAAAGTAAAAAAATATATTTTTTTTATTATTTCACGTTGAATTATTCGATATGGAATTTGACGAATAGGTAAGAATCTATTTTTCATTAGCTATAACTCTGCTTCTGCTGGGTATACAGACTTCATACATATACTATTGTTTTCACTTTTTTATAAACTGTATTTTTGCTACCAACATTTTTTCCATAAAATACTTACCTTTTGAGTTATTTGCGAGAAATCGTCCAAAAACGTGGTGTTTTTGATGAAAAATGAATATATTCACTCGCAAATAACTCGAAAAGTATTGATTTAGTAAAAACCTCTATAGAACAAAAGTTACCTAGAATTAGTCAGTTTATCCACTTAAGGACTTATTTTGGATGTATATCTTTTCACCCCCCAAGAAGGTGCGGTACTCACCCCCAGGGCAAAAATACACATCGGCACAATATCACTTTTTTTTCCTTGACACGTTAGCTATATGTGTATGACAAATTTCATATCAATCCCAGTGGTTCTTTAAAATTTAGAGGTTTTTACAATATTTTACCGTTAGTGAATGGACTATATTGTGTATTAACTTTTAATCATCTTTGGTGTCAAGTTCCTAAAGAAATATGAATAATTAACAATATTATTACGGTTTAACAAAATATTAGACCTTAATTTAAAAATAAAAGTTTATTATTTAATTGCTATTGCGCCGCCTATGTTTTACAAAGAGGCCGACACTTGAGTGTCGAATTTTGTTTTTATGACTTGTCCAACTGACATCGTAGAAACTATACCATGTTTTTTTAATTTTTTTTCTACCATTTCATCTTCAGGTTCTACAGGGTGAAACAAAAAAAAATAATAAAATTTTGTTTAATGTAATAGCGCGGATAAGTTGCTTACTGCATAGAGGAGTACCATGTTTTTTTTTAATTTTTTTCTACTATTTCATCTTCAGGGTTGTACAGGGTGAAACAAAAAAAATAATAATTTTTTTTTCTAATGTAATAGCGCGGAAGCTAAATATATTAATGACTATTAGGCTTTTTACCAACTTTTATAGTTTCAAAAAGTCTTCTACATTTAAAAAGACAAGAAAATACAAATCCCTTATTTTATAAAAACTTTTAATATAGAAAACAATAAAAATCTCTAATATAGAAAACAAACCGTTTACTAAATAAACAGGTTCTCTTTAAAAAAAAGTTCAACCAAATATTATTATCTAGACTATTAAATGGAAATTAAACTGCTACTTGTCTTTAAATTCCTATAAAATGTATGCACTGTATTGCGCCTTAGTGTTAAATCGAGGTAATATGGCTCTTGAATGAATCCTTGCTCGAACAAATCCATCTCTGGAGTCATAGTCGAGGACAGAATTGGAAGCTTCTGTTACAACCTTCACACATCTTACTACTGCTTGAGTATGACAAGAAAATTACAAAAAATTAGTTGGAAAAATTTTTTCACCATTAATACATTTTCTAATATCCTCATCAGTTGTAGAGGATGTAAAAGGGGAGGAATTGTAACAGAGCAATTTTGCCAATCAATAAGTTCATAATATTCACTAGCATTGAAATTTAAATCAGGAATTAAAAATTATCTTACATTCGTGTCCACAGTAGGTATTTTTGTGCGCGTCTTCAACATTCTGCGTAAGGCAAGTTGTCTTATGGAAGGACGATCATAAAAAGCATTCTAGGAGAAGGTTCTCCAGATGACAGAAATAAGAATTTCTTTTGATAACAGGATCAATGACAGCTTTTAACTCGTTCCTCAGGTAGCGTGACAATTGAATCATTTTAAAGACGTGTCTTGCTCCTTCACTACACGATGGCTTAGTTTTAATATTAAATCACACTGGCGCATAAACTTTTACTACAAATTCAGCCAAAGATCTTAAAACCAAAGACAGATTTTCACTTCCGACGTAAACACGCAATATATGATTTGCCTTTGTAACCCATCGTGCATGTGATAATTTACCCGGATTACGAGTTGCTAAATCTATCGAGCACTTTCCACTAGAAACCGAATGACAAATTTCGTATAAGTACTTTTGATCACTGCTAAGGTCCCTTATAACTGCAGCATCTAATTGTGTTAGAGTGGTATGAATAGGAACAAAATGGATTACTGGCAAATTTTCGCAAGACTCAAATAGTTTACCCATTTTGCCAGAGTATTTACGAGGTCCCAAAGTTTCTCCATCGAGAGATTGAAAGATATGCCGGAGGAACAATTCATTCATGTGTAACAGACAAATTGACCACTGCAGAGGACGTTTCAGTTCTGTCTCTAAAAACCGTAAAACCACATTCTTCCTCCCAGTTTTGACTGCTGTACCGTCGCAGCCTACTACTAAAGATTACTGTGCAATACCGGATTCTTCAAAAAAATTAGTATAGATGTGGCAATATGTCTTCCTGTACCTGACGTTGGAGTAATGTGATTTAGATATTTAAAACCTGGTTCTTCAAGTAACGAAATGTGTTCTTCGGTTTTTATCTTGCAATGAAGTTTATCTCCAACCTTTTCTTGGCACAGAGTTTTATCCTTTCTGCCTGAACTTTTTTACTCTTAAATTATAAGTCTCATTACGTTTTTGTTTTGGATATCTGATGAGAGTTTGGTACTTACTTAGGATATCACGAATTAATCGAATAATACGATTGCTTGATACAGTGGGAACTGAGGCTTTTTCCCAGATGGCTTCGATTTCACTGGTAACTAATTGAGAAATAACTAGAACACTAGGATCCTTGCCGGAATCCATACGTTTTAGTTCATTTCTAATAAGTAGATATCGCTTCATAACATCTTCTATAGTTGGCAAAACATTATAAGGTATATTCGCAGGTGCACCAAATATAGGACAATTAATAGTGCCCATAGTGTCTTTCACTGGCAAACTCATTACGTACCGATTAATTATTACAATAACGATCTTATGTCTACGGCTATCACAGTGGGACTAAAGATTGAGCTAACTTCGTCTTACTTACAAAGAATGCGAGATTATTAACACCATCAAATAGCACAAACTAGAATATCTTGGCCATGTTATGAGGAATGAACAGAGATACGGCTTGTTGCAACTCATTCTTCAGGGCAAGGTATTTGGAAAGAGAGGACCAGGGAGAAGAAGAATATCTTGGCTTCAAAACCTGAGAAAGTGGTTTAATACATCGACAACTGGACTATTCAGAATAGCAGCAAGCAAAGTTAGGATAGCCATGTTGATCGCCAACATCCGGAACGGATAGGCACCGTGAGAAGAAGAAGAAATGAATTAACAACTACAAAAAATGTCTATAACCTCTATAAATATGATATTGCAATAAATGTTCAAAATGACCCCCATTTTCTTCAAAACACATTCGGTATAATTTTAATAAGGAAAACCGAATGCGCTGAAAGAATCATATTTTTCTGACGAAATTGATTTGCAGCTTCAATTATTCTAACCCTCATTTGTTGTTCGTGATGTTTTTAAAAGACATGAAGATAAGAAAATAGGTCGGTAAGAACTTGGATCACGTTCTCGTCTGCCAGGTTTTTTAATCGGAATTACCAGGTACTCTTTCCAACTATTCGGTACTGGTGTCTTATTTGTCCAAATATTGTTAAAAACGTTTACTAGTGAAATTTTATATTCTATAGGTAAGTTGTATAACAGTGAGTATGACACATTGTCAATACCTGGAGAAGTATTATTTCTTTGTTCAAGGGCTCGATGCAATTCCATAAATGAAAATTTTTGTCAAAATTGTGGTTTTGTCTGGGTGCTGTTTGGATATATTCTTGTACACTGTCGTCATTTGGAACCCATGCAGGGGCAATTTTTCTATGGAATTCCTGCAACCATGCATCTTCTGGATCAATAGCTACTTTGTTGGCTTGTTTGCGGTTTTTAAAACAATTAACTTTTCGCCAGACATCTTTTATTGGTGTTCTTGAGTTTAGACTATGGCAGAATTCAATCAATGCGTGATATAAATTATGACATACCTTTTTGAAACACCCTATATACTTGATAATTATTCAGCTTTTAATTCAATATTTTTATTTAATTAGGTCAATAGTTCTATAATGTGAACAAACAAAAAGTATATTATACTGCAAATATAAACGTTTTTAAAGTGCTATTGCCGAAATGTCCGCCACCGATTCAAAAGAACCAACATTTCAAAAGAAAAACTTCACAAAACTCCCTGTGCATCAGATAAACCCCAGTTACACAGTGCGTGTGATGTGCTGCGTGTTTTTTATCTTTTTAACCGAGATTTTTCTCGCCCACTATGTATATCGGCTGATAAACTCAGAAATCCGCGAGGACTATGTCGCGAAACACTCGTTTCATCATCATTTTTTGCTTGAACTACGCAGTGAAGAGTTCCGCAACGAAGTTAGGAGAATTTTTAAGGAATTTAGTGTGATGAATTCTAGCCATAGTTTGAAAAGAGAAAAGAGGAGCGTAAAACATAGGTTAGATTATAATTACTTGGGAGTGCAAGCTGAGGAGCCGCAGGTGGAGTTCTTTAATCCGAAAACAAGGGTGCCTGGGGACGAGAAGGATGATGAAAACTTAAGAAAACTCGGAAGGAAGGAATTGACACCCAGTGGGGATTCTTGGATATGGGTCACAAGCTCAAGCAGAATACCGGTGAGTCATCTTCAATTATTTTTATTTCCGATATAACTATTATATCAGTGTAAAATACATTTTAATATTTTTCAATCGTCCAATATATATTATACTTATTGAGGTAACGATTTTTTTTATTTATTTCTTATACGGGAAAAAACCATTAATAGACTAAATCCCAATACATGCTTAGGTTTAGTACAAAAATAAATATTTTATCCTAGTACAGTAGTGGCCAAATAGAAGAACCAGTGCGTGCATTTATGTTCTTTGAGCACGCCCACAGGTAGACACAATTGGTACATATAATCTGTTCACAATTTGTCGATAGCTCACTACAAGTTTAACCCTAATTAGAGAACTGAAATACAGAGAGGATAGGTAATACGATATAATAGTAAAAACCAACCTGAAACTGACGGTTTAAGATGTTTTCGACTAACCCACCTTGTATCTGAAGGAATACAATACAGCGTCAACCTTATAATCCGATTACGAAGGTATTTTGGTTACAGATGACCGACCAGTGTCGTAGAGTATATGATTGAAACATTTATTTGAACCGGAGAAAACTAATAAATATTTTTAAAAAATTTAAACACAGAATGAAAGATTACATTATTACTGAGGGCAGAAAATCCCTGAAAACTTCTACATGTTTATTTTAATATGTTATGTAACAGGGGTGAAAATAAAAGAGAAAATATAGTATAATTTTTAATTGAAAATATTGCATGCAAAAGAAACTTTTTATTTATTCTAATAAATATTTCATTCTGCCTTTAAATTTTTCAAAAATGCTTTTTAGTTTTCTCAGGATTTGAAAAAAAAAATGGATACATTTAAAACACATTTGAACATTTTGACAGGCGACATTTTGCGCCTTTCCCCTTTAATACCTTACGATTACAACTACTATTACTTACTTTATATAATTACGATTAGAAACCTATTCAACTTCAAAATAAATAGGATTAACTTCGGAATCCGAGTCGTCTTGAGGGTTAATAATTAGCGGTTGTGTCTCTACGGTCGCATTAATTATGTTATCAAGAACCCACATTTTTTGTTCTTCTTCTATTACATGTCTTACTGCATCTTTTCAGTTTTGTTCTGTAATATGTTGTAAAGACTCGTATAACAATTCACGTACAGCTTGTATTTTATATGACGTATTTTTTCTAGCCACATAACGTTTCATTTGTGCCCAAATGAGTTCAATTGAATTTATTTCGCAGTGGTAGGGTGGAAGTCTAAGGACTGTGTTTTTTCGCCTTTCGGCCATTTTGTCAACTACGTATTACTTGAACTTGGATTTGTGTTGCCGGGCAATTTTTAAAAGTTCTGCTTTTACCATTCCATCTTCGTAAGGCAGATACTTATTCCGCAGCCAGTTAAGAATATCTTGTTTCTTCCACGCAGTCGTTGGAAGTCTTTTTACTAGTCTTGAATGATAAGATGCATTATCTAATAATATAATTGAATTTGGTGGTATGTGTCCAATTATCTACTCAAAATACTCTTCGAAAACATCAGCTGTCATCTCCTCGTGATAGTCTTTTGTGTTTTTGGACTAAAATTCCAACAAACCATGCTTTTAACAAATCCTTTTTCACTGCTAATATGAGAAATTATTGATCTATATATATTTAGCCATGTACAAGCCATATATTTTTCCTACGGTGTTTATTTTATTTAACATCAACTGCAGATCATGTTCGTTGTCTGTTATTACCGCGGTGTCGTCTGCGTAACTAATGTTATTTATCGGAAACAAGTTTACCTTTATTCCATACTCAAAGCTTTCCAGTGCCTCTGCAAAAATGGTCTCCACATACAGATTGAAAAGCATAGGAGACAAAATACGCCCCTGTCGCACTCCTCTTAAAATTTCAAATTGTTCTGTGTTGGTTGATTTGTTTAGTCTCACTTGTGCTTTTTGATTCAAATAAAGATTCTGGATAACTCATATCTTTCTCGTCAATGTTAGCATTGTATAGCATTTTTATCATTGCATCATGTTTTATAGTGTCAAACGCTTTTTTATAATCAAGGAATGTTATGACTATTATCCTTTCATTTATCCATGCAGTTTTGTACAAGCGTATTCAAGCAGAAAGCTGCTTCACGTGTACCGTCTCATTTCTAAACATTCTTCTGTGAAGGATGCGAAGAAACACATTAAGCAAATGGCTCATTAAACTTATCAATCTGTGGTCTTTGCTTTTTGTCGCTCTTTGTGATTTAGGGATCATTATAAAGCCAATCCGTTGGAATGTGGCAGGTGTTATATTTGGCATTGTGAATTGATACCAACATGTCGGTGTTATCATCTTCCAACAGTTTTATGGCTTCCATAGTAATTCCATCCGGTCCAAGGGCTTTGCCTAGTTTTGCTACTTTTATAGCGTACTCCACCTAGGCGCGAATAATGGGAGGGTCGGATAAATTTTTTGTGTGTAAGTTAGTAGTTAAGAGATTCGGTCTATTGTCCGCAAAGAGGGCCGAAGCATACATAGTCTGCCCAGATTTTAGTTTAGCTAGTTCTTCCTGGGTATAAACGTAGTTTCGTTGATTATTCTTCAGGCGGGTCTCATGTTGTTTCTTGTATATACTCGAAATTTCTTTGACCCTTTTATGTAGTCCAAAGCTGTCTCCCTTTTCTTGTAGTGATTCCAATTCTTCACAACGTTCTTTCATCCAGCTTTCCTTTGCATTTTAAATCTTGCCCTTATCGTCCGTTGGATTTTCTTGTATTAATGTTGATTCTGATGTATTTGGTACTGTCTGCGTTGCTCCATTAGATCAAGTATCTCTTCCGTCATCCAGTCGTTTTTGTGACTTCTTTTTATTTTACATGCGACTATCTCGTTAGCAGACTTACGTTTTGCAGACGATACAGTAATAATTACGGATAACAACAATGATTTACAGAACCTAATGCAACGCCTTAATGAACGCTGTCATGAGTACGGATTGAAGATAAACTTAAAGAAAACTAAATGCATGATCATGACTAAATCTGCACATGCAAATATCCAATTGACTATTGAAGATACTGCAATTGAGAATGTTAATAACTATAAATATTTAGGAACATGGATAACATCAGATGTAGACCAAACCAAAGAAATTAAGACACGTATTGAAATAGCACGTACATCATTTATTAAACTTAAAAAGTTTCTTTGTTGTCGGGATATAAGGTTAGAACTACGCCTGAGAATGCTTCGATGTTACGTCTTCTCTACTCTTCTTTATGGTCTGGAAGCTTGGACACTAAAACAAGTTCATCTGAATAAGCTGGCTGCCTTTGAATTTTGGTGTTACAGAAGAATCCTACGAATATCATGGATTCAAAGAATGTCAAACATGGAAGTAACTAAAAGGATAGGAAATAAGGCGGAAATAATATTAACTATTAAAAGACGAAAACTTGAGTACTTGGGACATGTGATGAGAGGGCAAAAATACGCATTATTACAACTTATTATGCAGGGCAAAATCCGAGGAAAGCGAAATGTGGGAAGACGAAGAATATCCTGGCTTAAGAACTTAAGGGAATGGTTTGAATGCAGTAGTGCAGAACTTTTTAGAGCGGCAGTCAACAGAGTCCGCATAGCCATGATGATTTCCAACCTTCGATAGAAGATGGAACTTAAAGAAAATGATCTCGTTAGCCTCGACTATAGTTATTTTTATTTTCTCACAGGTTTCGTCTATGCAATTTCCTTGTATGTTTCTCAAATTCGTTGATTTGCTTACTGTATGTAGATCTAAGCTCTTCATCTCTCAATAATTCTCTAGTGTTGATGTATTTTTGATTAGATGGCTTTTTAACCTTTGCCAATCGAAACCTTACATTCGCGAATAGGGGGTTGTAAGGCCACCAGGGTAAGCCACTACTCTTTTTATATAGTTGCGGAATCTTTTGTTTATCAAGATGTAATCAATTTGATTTCGTATCATATGACCTGGACGATCTCCTGGTGCTTCTAGAAGTAAACGATCTCAATTTTTGCACCCTCGAAAGAAGTGTGGGTTTCACGACAAGTCGCGACACCCACTGCCTATGCAGACTTTGTACAATGCTTGTATTATAACTGGGATCAATTAGCAGCTTTTCCAAGTGTAGTAGAATAATAATCGAAACAATTTTTGTTTTATCATTTTTAGCAAAAATATAGCAAATTATGTCATTTACACGATAACTTTCCAACATCCGTATATTTTGATATATATACATTGACATCCAACTTACCGTTTTGATTGCTGCTTGGTAATAACTGTGAAACTGTTTTATCTAGACAATGAAAACTTTGCCCATCTAACGAATAAAGTCCCTACGAAAACTAGCAGTGCTTGCTACATAAACAGAATTATGCGATATACGTATTCATCTCTTACAACAATGCGTTTAATTGTTTATCTTTACTTTTCGCATAACTCAGTTAGTTTGTACGTTGTACGTAACTAACTAGGACCCATTCAAATTCAGTGGATTTTGTCAATTTAAAGGGTTGAGGCCGGAATTGGGCAACCCTCAGGATTAGCTATGCATCTCAATGAAACTGCAAACCACGTTGTTTAAAATAGGGATAATGGGAACTTTAATACTTGATCTAGAGTGATCGATTATATATTATGTCAGACAAGTAGTTTTACAAAGTATCTTTTAATTTTTTTGATAATACTATTATAGATTGCTTGAAATGTAAAACGTTTTTGTACCAGAAGCTATTTTCTTGTGGCATTTTAAACTAATTACTATTTAACTGGGAATAAGCCACAATTAAAGGTTAAAATACGTTTATTGACGTTTTAATTTCCACTTCGGAAATCGTTCTCAAAATACAAACAGTAAATTAAACAAATTTTGTTTTTTGTTACTTAGTGAACAATTCTTCTAATAATTTAGTTTTATCTGACTCATTTATATTGACAATTCAGACATACATTATGAATTTTAAAGCAGACGACTTTAAAATGATATTGCCAATATTTTTGAGTTGCGCTCC